TTGTATTTAGAAAGTTTCTTGTTTACTCCAGCCTAGTTCCCCAGCTAATGGAGGTTGGTGATGCTCGTCCTCGCTGAACCTGGCCATCCGATCCATTGAATCGCCAGCACAGGTGCTTACCTAGAAGTTAACAGTGCTTATTTCGATTCAATGTCTGATGACATATGCGTATATAGATATAATGGCAGAAAATCCCAGCAAATGTACCTTCGAGTGCGAAGCTTTGGTGCATTAATTATGGAATGATTTTGGTTAAGTCAACCGTGTTTAGAATGTCCCATCCGAGTACACATACAATTCATTAATTAAAGTTTCCAAGTAAAGACTTCATACAAATAACGCATATTACGTATGTTACTTGTGCAACGTATCCTGACGATGTAAGAATCTGTGCTAGTGTAGGCAGATAATTGATACGATCAATACGCTACTTGAACCTACCGCACTTATATGTCGGCATCGAAGGCCGTATTGGCCAGCGGAACATCCCAGCGGAATGACGTCCTCTAACTATATTTGCCAAAGCTATTCCCCATATCCGAATTTTGAAAGGAAGCTTTAGGCTATTGGAAACAAAGTTCCACAGGAGCTGAAGCAAGTTGTTGACTGTAAAGATTTGTCTTGAGGTGGTGTTGTCATTAAGATCAATGCAATGTCAGTGTTTACCGGTAGTCATTAACCCTCTGAACTCCCTAAGCTTATCGCGGCGGTTTTGATTTTTTTTCGAAATAGAACGTACTTCTTGAGTCCCAATTGCAAAAAAGAGAGAATCCTTGAGGATAAGTTTAACAGCACGTAGAGCTCTCCCGAAAAACTCTGAAGCAAGGCGTGCCTACAATAGTGTTGTCACTTCTGAAATCGTGTTCCTTCTTTTAAATTATGCTGAGCATGAAATACATTGCTGTGCAACGTATTGTGCTTTAATATATCCAGTCCTTTAGACGACGAGCTATATTAATTCCGAGTGCTTGGATCCGCATGTCATCCTTTGAGCACCCAAAAATCATCGTCCAGAAAAGGACAGAGTTTAAGCTTTCCTCTTTCGGCAACATAAGATTTCGTTGTGTTGACGTCAGTATTACTGAGAAGTGGAACAGTAATTATGCTTGTTAGCTGGAACATTCTCACGGCGTTAGGTTGCATCTCCAGTCGATGAAGTGTGACCTGAGGCAGGTCTTCATTCAATTTCTTCAAATGTTGACATTTCGTCCGTCAGGTCTGAGAGTTTTGAGCCTGGAGCCCTCTACACGACAAGTTTCCTTAACCAGCATTACACCTTGGCGGATACTATCATCTGCGACTACTCGATCGGCTGAGGCAGTACCGGTTCTCTACAAATTCACATTGATTGTCAACACCATTGGCCATATGGCTCGCAGGAAGGGGAAATGTGTCATGTTTAAAGGTCGGTCACTCTCACAGTTGACGACATTAGAATTTGGCTGATGAAACAGCCAATAACAGTTGATTTCTGTATCGTAGGAGTGAGGAAATGACAAGGTAGATGGACAAACCTCACGAAACACTGACGAACACTATCGATTAGTAATTGATTAACAGTGTCTAAGTTGATTTGCTGCTCGGTTAAAGCTGAAAGGACAGCCAATGGTCCATTGCAGATGGACGGCAGGCCAGCTAATGTGCCATCGAGTTCACACATCGAACGTTGACACATGCTACAAGATACAGTATGTACTGTAATTGCACTATATATATATATATATATATATATATATATATAATGCAATTCGTTTAAACATGTGATTCACACCATATCTTATTTGGATTTGTCCAGAACACATGCTCTCAGATCTCAGTTTCAATCACCAGTAACAAACGGATCTCTCCGTGTTATTTCTTCAATGTGTCACTAATTACTTCGACGTAATGTATTTTAGTAATGCCTACTCAATATGGCTATCCAGCCAAAGAAACATTTTAAGCACCAAATTTGAGAATATAATCCTAAGTGCGGTGTATATGTTATGTGAAATCAGTCATTTCGTGAAATAACTAAGAGGGTGAGCCATTCAACTATGCCTACTGCTCGTTCTCTTTCTTCCTGGGTTAACCTTGGCATTCTCTCTGGGTGACTTTATGTGCAGTGATATTGCAGTGTTGGACAGGCCATTTATACTGATTTTTCGCACGATCTTTCCCATGTATCCGACTAAGACATGTGTTTCATGTTTCTGAGAGTCGGGTCCACAAAATGCGTTTTGGCGATTTGTTTCGTGCATCATGGACATTGGCAATCGTTATCAAGCACATTTACATCAAATTTGATGGAACCGTCCAAACCTATTATAGAGCCAATAGCGAGCTGGCTGATCTTCTTAGTCATTTCACGAAATGACTGAAATTCATTCCACGAAATGACTGGTTTCACAATCTGACTGTAACATATATATTATGAACCTGATCTCTTGTTTATTCCTGTGCAATGATTTCGTAATTACTATATGCAGTAATAAGTCTGAAACTGAAATATTGCATCTGTATACTTACGTTGTGATTATATATTACTGTTTTCATATAACACGATTTGAATGATTTAATGGGGTATATGTATACATCCCAGAATAGCACAGATCGTGGAATAATACTTTGTATTTTGGTACATATTAGGTACATATACGTGCAGATGAAGTGTCGTGGCCAGAGTGAATAAGTGATTTAACTCACGTCTGGTTACATGATGTGTACGATCAAGATATGTATAACAAAACCACAAAATCTCAACATGGCCATGCTCAAGGAAGAGGGTCGATCGTACCGAATTGCTAAACCAAACCATGTGTCATATTTTAGACATGGGACGTTGGTCAAAGACTCTGGTCTACACAGACGGGGAAAAATAACATTAAACGACTTTGATCGTATTATCCATGAAGCTAAAGAGTTTAACTGGGACCAACTGACGGTATTGAGTTACAACCCTATTTTGAGTTTTCGTCGATTTGTTTTATCTTTTATTCCCCACTTGCTATCAAGTGCGATTATATCCTTGAGATGAATCAGCTGATAGAACATCAAGTGTTCTGCTTTATACACACACAGTCGGGCGTGTGATTTAATCCCAGTTACATGTTATCTGACACGCTAAGGTGTTGCACTCATGATGGCAGGCTAACAAACAGACCGTATTTCTGCTTGCAAACAAGTGCATAATATTTGATTGAAACAGGGTAATCACTGACCTCATCAATTTAAATACACATCGTAAATTTCAACTCAGTCAAATAGAACTTTAAAATAATTCCTGCATTTGTTTCAGCAGCCAGTTTGCCTGAGAGTATTTTGCATTTGAATATCTTGTAATTACTGAGATATGTTCAACGTAGTGTTCCTTGCATTCCTATGGTTTAACATCAGTGTCATATAAACCAATATACCAGTGTCCCTCTATGGTCCAGCGCTAAATCATGCACTGGGTAGAATCTTTGATCAAAGTGGTGCTATGTTCAAAATGGACAGACCGCCTCCGTGGTGTAGTGGTTAGAGCGTCCACCCTGGAGAGCGGAAGGTCGCGGGTTCGATCCCCGACCGCGTCATACCAAAAGACGTTAAAATATGGTACTTGTTGGTCCCTGCCTAGCGCTCGGCATTAATGGGTACAACAAGGGCTGGTCGGCTCGGAGTCAGTATAATGTGTCTGAGTGGGGTATTCATGCTTCACTGCGGCATGGTATCTCAGTGGCCTAGCACTATAAAACCAGCTTAAGTCTGGGCTCGTACAAGCAGCCGCACACACACATACACTCGCATGCACGTCGTCATATGAGCGAAATATTCTCAAGCACGACGTTAAACCCAATCTCACCTCACCTCACCTCAAAATGGACAGTCGTAACGTTAATTGGGCAATAATCACCATAAACCACTTTGCTACCTAAAGCCCTCTACGACAATGGAAATCTTGAAATGTTATCAGCACACTATAAAACACGAACAATGAGTAGAGAAGCTACACACACTGATCCACGTTGTGTCTTTACAGTCTCGAGTCTTTGTCCTGTATTGAAATCTATGGTTGCTGTGGAAAGCAAATAAAGACTCATGGCGTTGGATGGCTATGAGATGAAAGTGCCTGTACAGTGCGACATGGCACCCAGATTTGGCTTCCTTTCCAGTGCAGGTCTAGACACATCAGTAAGCTACGTTTGTGGAATTAAGCTTACAGTAAAGTTTAAGAAAGGATCTTAACGTCAGTGAGCAAAACGTATCAAATAACAAGATTCCAGACTGATACACGTTTCCAGCCACAAGACATCTATTTCAGGAGGGGTAATTTGAGGTCATGCTTTCTTTGAAATTCGATGACCTTCAGTGGTTAAACATTAAATACCGATTTTCCATGAGTATATCATCATGAACTATATCAACTACAACGTATACCTGTTTTACCTATAAGTGCACTGTCGATATGAAACTCAGTGTATATCAGTAAATATTGCAAAATATGGACCCGCTGTATAAAGGGCTCCATCTGCAAAACAATACAATTTCATTTTATTCTCAGGATTATTAGATTTTCCATATACAGTGCTTCTCCAAGGGAATGGTACTCATTAGTGATTCCGTGTGATGCGATTAGATAGCTTGCAAAGAAAATATCTGATCCTTCGGAACCGAATGTTTGATCTGGGTATCTCTTCTGTAAACATTTGACCAACAAGATCGCGGAACATACTGGCTTTCTTCAGCTTCAAGAGAAATACAGTCTTATGACACTGTGTACAAGTCAGATTCAAATCATATAGATCTGTTTGAAGAATACCGTACTTTTGTTTAGAAAGGTACTAACTTTCAAATGTCACTGTATTAAATAGATAGTTAGTGAAAGAGACTGGAATATTGTATTTCAAAACATACACAGATTCGCAGACTTAGAATGAAACAACTACAATCGGATTAACTTGTATCGTTAAATTGGCTTTACCGAGAGGACTGACCAGAATAGAATCCGTCTGTAAGGAATATTAGATTTTATAACCAAGGGGTGTTTCTGGTTGGGGCATTCTACGTACACGTTCGTAAATGAAGGCAAATGTTCTGATCTTCAGGCAGTCTGTGTACGACCAGACAGTTTCTTTGATATGGTTTACATGTTTTCCATCGTCATGTTATTACAGAGCTTGCTGGCTTCGTCGAATATCTTTAATCATTGACTGTCTGCCCCTGATTTAAGGTCTTTACTGGAGGCACTTTGTTTCTGCACAAACAGGCCGACGATGTCTCAGATATATCGTATATCCACTTGACTGATGAAATTTCCTTTTTAGCATTTCTGGCAATGTGTGAGGTCTTTCAATCAGAAGAAGTACCGTTGGAAGTTACACTTCTTCAAGTGGTTCGTGACCATACTGAATATATGGTAAGTGGAAAAATATATCCTGAAACATTTAATCTAAAAAATAATATCTTGACAAATCCACTTTGAAATACAACGCACTACCCCAATTCAAAATGTCTGCATTGACTGAATACACCCATGCCTCCTTAGTCCATCGCCACAACGAGTCCATAGGCGATTCATGATCAGTAGCATAGTAATCCATCACAACGCCACGTACTGTTGACATGGAGGATGTTCGACATCACTCAGTATTTGTAGGACGTAATGCTTGGTGTGGCTGTTATTCGCTCAAAAGAACTACTACATTCTCCACTTGACGTCTAGGGGGGAATTGTCAAAGCATCACAAGAATAATAGAAGGGGTTACTTTAAGTCTTTTCGATGGTTCATGATTTAAATAAGTGCTGATAATTCGCTGTTTCGTGCTGAAGCTAGGTCGTATCAGAGTGATTAGGAGGGCATTAAATCCCAAGAACGCAGTTTCCTTGTGAGAGCATAAGCCTTTCGAGGCCTTCACGGTAATCACGATGTTATGATATCCCCAAGGCTAATAGTATGAATGGATTCTCTATTTAAGAACATCGAATCATGCAGAACAACGATAAAAATACTAACTGGAGTTTGTATGCATTTGTTTGTTACAGCGTGGACTAATCACTTCATGGGTACAGCTGTTCATATCCTTCCGCAACAACAATTCTACATTTCCCAACGTTAATTATCATCAGCCAACCTCAAATATATAACATAATTTAACACAGCAACACAGGTAAAACTGGCTTTAAATTCATGCTTTGTACGTTACACACATATGTGAAACATGTACTATTTATTTAACCGCTACCTTTAAAGAGATGATTCAGGTGATTGGTTCATGAAAACTTGGCTTTCTACTTCAACATCTTGAACTCATTGTCGCTTTCTGGGGTTTCAAAGGTCCATGTTAAACCAAACTGATCTCGAATCAAATGGATTCCTTTCAACTTGTCATTAAACAAATACATTTAAGACCAATATTTAACGCCCATGGATTTACGTTGCCTTTGAGGAAAATGATGTTCAGGGGTTTAAAAAGACATCATAGTATAAAAATGCTTTCTTCATGTAACTGTTTTTCAGCATTCTCTGGTGTCATTATGCAAGACTACTTTTACAAAGATTTACATTTTACATTTAGCTTTCTGTTTCCTACCAAACGAAAAAGGAAGAGCAACGGCAGGATGTACAGTCACCCATTGCACCTCATGACGCAATTAGACTCTCTAAACAACAAGATTCCTTGATTTGGTCCCATTAAGAATCTCCATCTTTCATCAGAACTCGAGCCTGTCCTGTCACAAAAGATCCTGTTATTTTATTCTTGAAACATAAACTTGAAACAACATGGTTATTAGGGATATCAATGAATACGACCCAAGCAACTCAAAAACGTACGGCAATCGATACTTGCCTGGGTTTTGAAAAGCAAAGGAATCAATCCATGTGATATTTAAGGGACGGCGGATACAATATACCTGCTAATAGATGGCAACTCACATAGTATCGCTTGCATTGGCAGTGGTTACTGGGTCCAGCGTCGTCAAAATCACTGCAGTTCTGATTCTCAAACTGTATTATCTTACCTCACACATAAATGTCGCTTTCTGATTGGCTGAGCGCTCTTCTATTATTTTCAATGTACCTCGCTTACAAGCAAGTAACATTTCAATGTACTCCGCTGTCAATAGCAACTCATTTGGTACTTCGTTGAAGTAATTCTTTATCTCGAATAACATTGAATCACGTATGATGTACGGAAATTACCGATGTTTTGCGAATGCAAATCGATGGAAGGGAGATAACTCTAAATCTGTTTTTCTTGTCAGCAAAATCTAGCGATGGCTACAAAAAAGATGTGTACCCCTGCTTCAAACAATTCAAAATTAACGTTAAGGTGTTCGGTAAGATAAATACGTTGTTCACTGGTCCCTCGGGGCCCATGGGTTGATGTTCCCTCGATGTTTTTTTTGTTGCCCTCGCTCTTCGGGCTCAGGGAACATATACAAACATCGAGGGTACATCAACCCATGCCCCCCTCGTGACCAGTGAACAACTTATATTGTTCCCCCGCCAATATACATTGGAATATGGTTAAAGGCGGTGTACAATCATAGTCAAACACGAAAACTCTATCATACGTTGCCATGATATTATAATACGTCTGTGTCTATTTCCATATCATGGCTGGATTCATAGCAACATAAAGATTAATGTGATATATCGGGCGCATTAGAAAATATCTGACAGTAGACTCCATTTTGGTCCTTTTCCTCGTCATCTCGAGACTGGACTATTGTATTAGTGTCCTCTTTGGTGCTCCTCTGTCCATTACAAACAAGCTCCAGCGAGTGCAGAACATCGCCGCCAGAATCATCTAAAAAAGTCAGAAAGAGACCATATAACACCAATTCTAACGGATCTACACTGTCTCTCACAGGATCACATTCAAGATTCTCTGCCTAACCTACAAGTGAGAAATGTTTAACGTCTGTTTTGTAGACCCATACCTATTGTGAAGTTTTGTGTATGAAGCAAATTGCCGAAGCGGACCTCGCTCATGACAGTTGCTTGCGTTTCAAGTGACAATAAAGGAAATGCGCTGTCTGATCTGGCAATCCTTGTGCTTCTTGTTTAACAGAAATGCTGGACCACAATATGCTTTCCCATAAACGGATTAAGCATACTAGGCATTATACATACTCTACACAAAGTCTGTTTATCATTTTCATTCAAAATGTTTCTCGCAGTGTTAAATTATTGTCCTTCTGAGAGGGTACGTAAGTCCTAAAGCTTTCAAAGTTAATTTAAGCTTACCAGATTTTTAAACGTAGTATTTTTGTTCTTTTAAAATTCGGCTAAACTTTTCCTACAATCGCCAGCAGCTGAAGGGATGGTGTAAATCCATGCAGGTAGCAAAGGCACTGTGGTAGTCTCTTTGGGTTTACTGTCATTTGTCGACAGATAGTTTATATTGATTACCTTGTTTCCATCGCTATATGTCTGTAATATTCCCGATGCGATGAATCTCTTTTAACTCATTCACCCACTCGCAGTGTTCAAACACCACTGGTGAGGCCACTGGTACTCAACTGGGATAATAATTCCATATTCTCCAGCAACCCATTCTGCTATAGGACCGGAGTGCAATAATTTTGAGTACCTTTGGTACGCGATCAGATTGAGTTTGTCTTTTTGCATTGAGTCAACTTTGGTAGGTTTAATCGTATTTGAACATATCAGATTAGGTGAGTGAGTGAGGTTAGTTTTACGCCGCACTCAGTAACATTCCAGCTATAAGACGGCGGTCTGTAAATAATCGAGTCTGCACCAGACAATCCAGTGATCAGCAACATGAGCATCGATCTGCGCAATCTGATGCTACCCAAGTCAGTTATGGAACTGATGCCATGTTTTGGCTTCAGAAGCATGTGATAGACGACTGGTGTTTTCCAGTGTGATTAAACGAGCCTATGTTCTGGCATCAGGGTAGCTGACTATTTTTTTCACATTTGCCTCATACTTCCATACTGACCTGCCCATTGAAGAGGCCATATTGTTGCCTTGGCAATGCAAATACTTAATGGTGGTGGCACATGTCATACCATTATGATCAGATTCCCAACATCTGTAGCCAGTAAGCTTATTCATTGGAAAAGTAAGCATCCAGCTTTAATAGAACTTTGTAGTACTAGCGTGTCAAAAGTCAAAATATATGTGTTCACTGGCAACATACGGCCATCTATACGATAGGCAGAAACGTCAAACACTCAAAACTCCAGTGTAATCAGGTTCAGATTGTCATATGCATGAAAACTGTGACGTTCAGTCCTCACCGATACTGGGTATTCATAGGCCCCTCTAGTCGTACCTGTCACTTGGTTCACTATATTTCATCGATCTCTTTATTGCCCTGTTACATAGCTGTTCAAGTTTTCAGCAGATGCCAATATCATGCAAACACTGCAATACGTTCCCCATAATGTTGATGCTCATGTCCACTCCAGATCTAATTCGTTTCACTTGAATATATTTGTCAAATGAAAATGTTCATCTATGTTCCATTAGATTTATGAGAATCAGTGAAACATTTATCCAACCTATGCATATCAATAAGCACCAGCTATTCATAGGCTGGATAATTTTTATTCGAAGTGACGACGGACTTGATGCATTTCGGAAAAATCTGAAACCTTTCTTCAAATTATGTCTGCGATGCACCGGTTCCCCGATTCACTCATCTCTAAAAGATACAAACATTTGATTATTTCTTTGAAAACTGTTTCTTTTATGTGAGCTTTGCCTCATGGAGTTTGTTTAACCTGGTCTTTGATCTGCATGTCTGTTAGAGGAAGGAATCAGATGAGCTGGAGATGAAAATTGAACGACATCACGAGTGGCCCTGAGGAACTTGATTCCGATCATATATCATCATTCGGATTGGTTTCACTGACATTGGGTCTGTATTACAACCGAGGGTATATCACGGAACGAAAAACAACCAATCAGTGAGGAAATTCTTGTAAGGCAATGGAGCTCGATCAAGCACTATTCTAATTTCACCAGGGAACAGCCAAGCATATCAGTGGCAGTGAGGCCACACGTTGCTGATTACAGTGTGATAATGCCAGCGTCAAGTGCAATCAGGTTCATATGCAGTGGAACCTTTTCCCCCTTGAAAAATGTTGGTCGATATCCCAACGCTGTGAATTCACACCATGAATGGGCATTTCAAACGTTCTCACGTCTCTGCTGCATATGATCCTCTACATAACGTCATTATCGACATTAGGCATTGACTTTCACCTGCATCCGAGATTTGTGTATGGAAACATAAAGAATTCTGTTTAGAGTCATATTCAAGAGTGTGATCTATATGTTTAAATCTGATCGTGTTTAATTCCGCTAAACACTAGCATTTTCTGTAGTCTTACTTCAGAAAAACCTATAACAACATCTGTAAATTTTTTTATACCATACCATAAAAGAAAACAAATGCATGATCTTGAAATATGACTTCTCGAACCTGAGACACCCATCAGCCATAAGGTGAGAGGAGTGCTGGAAGTACGATTTGGGTCCTTACTGTTGGAGCTGGAAAACACCGTCAAGTTCATTAAAGGGTCAGCTCAAATAACACAGTCATGTAAATGGGTCATGGTCACATACCGACTCGACACGAATGACAGGACCAGTGTCAGTACATCATTACACTACAGACTTGCGAAAATTTAAAACTGTCATCGTGCGCTATCAAAATGAATGATTCTCTTGTGCCATCAAAATACAAGACAAATGACATAGTGATGTATGCACTGATCAACTGAACATCCACAATCCTCCTAGATTCAATCTTCTCCCGGAGCTACCAGCATTGACTCGTTGAACAAAAATGGTTCCCCGTTCGGTTTAACAGGCCTGTGCTGGTGCCCCTAATGGGAAATTAAGATTGGGTGGTGTTAAAAGACAGCCATGTGTTATCGCTGGAAAAAGTATTTTTGCCCAGGGTATAACATTCTCAGGTGAAACGTGACAATTGAATAATTACTTTAATTATATGTAGGTGAATCGACGCATGTCATATTTGGTATTTTAATCTTTATTACCTACGAGGGCGAACATATCAGGGTTCATATTGTTCATACGATGCCCTAGGGCCAAATATCACTTTGTCATGGTGAAGTGACGTCATGAACAATGCTATGACGTCACGTTTCTTCTGTGACTTTGCGTTTTACATGCGGCGACGGCGGGTAGACAGCCTATGTTTGAAAGTAGATTTGGATTATTTTCCTCAATTTGACGACTTCGGTAATACACAGAATATTATATTCGTGTCCATATCATACTATGTTTACGACATTCGTGCCTAAAGATCGGTATATTCCTCGCTCTCGCTCGGGAAATACCAACATTTAGGCACTCGTGTCGTAAACATACTATGACATGGGCACTCCTATAATATCCTCTATTTGCTATATGACGGAGATAGCAGATACTCGAGTGACACGTTTATGAAACGGGGACATATAATCATTCAAGTCACCAGATCCACTGAATCGACAGCATTAGTTCTTTCTTACAAAAATAGAATCAGTATCATTTCACCATTTCACCTCACTTCATCTTGTACACAACTCGTAGCTCGTGAAGTGTCCCATCGAAGAGTTGTGAATACTCAGAGGACGTACATCTTCATGCAATGTCACAAATCCCACCCGTGGGTTCTTGAGTTTCTAACGTTGTTTGCATGCATTTACCCCAGCTGACATTCTCTCTAACACGGAGTAGCATTGTTGACACACAAGCGGTACGGTTCTTTGTGTACCTGTAGTTTATTGGGTTTCCAATACAGGCTTTCAACCTATTGAATTTATCTCCAAACAGCAACTACAGTTAGTACCAGTGACTGATTTGATTTCACTAATAATGTTAATGACATCAATCGTGAAGTTCTTATCTCTACTACCATAATGTTACTGAATAAATTGGATGACGTGACCTAGTTTTTCTACTTTAGACATGCAAAATAATGCAGTGTGATTGATCCTTTTCACTATGTACACTGCTAACCATATGCATGCTATCTGTCCAGCTGAGGTCTTCCCATGCATTGTTTGGCTAAGTTGAGGCTGTCCTGTTCTTTGATCTAACAATGTTATGATACAAGTTATGGCCGACGGTATTTTCGTTTATCTAATTTTAAAGAACAAATTCCTAAATAATGTTAATAATGCCACAGTCCCATATTAGATCTTTTTCCCCTTAAATCGCAGATATTATCGATAAATTGTTGAACGGTGAACATACTTAAATATCAACCCTGAATTTCCTTTATCGCCCTTCATATGTGCTCAGGGCTCTTCGTCATTTGTAAAGGTCATGTCTCGCGAAGAGAGCCTTTTATGTCTCAGGCACTGACATACGATATGGTAACCGATGCGCTGGGCATCTCCCAGCAAAGGATAACCACACGATAACGGGAGAAATGCATGGAATTCCTCCCATCACTCTGTAAGTTACGGGGCAGTGGGGTACCCCAGTGGTTACAACAGTTTGCTCGTCACACCGAAACCCCGTGTTCAATTCCCCACATGGGTACAATGTGCAAAGCCCATTTCTGGTGCCCCCTGCCGCGAGAATATTGGTAGAAGCGGCGTAAAACCATACTCACTCACTGCAAATAAAACAGCTCTGTCGTATGCATATTCTAAGCTTCATGAAAGGTTTAATGCGTAACCGTAAAACGAAAGAACGCAGGTGAGGCATACAGTAAATATGAAGCAATTAAATAACGACGTAAATGACTGATTTCCTATTTTCAGTGAAATAGTCCTGACAAGCAAAGTGACCGATGGACGAATTATAGGTACGATGTGACGTCCTTCACATATTTTGCGAACACTTCCAAATGTTATCGCCCAGTTTCCCGACTAACTAGGTTGCTCTTACTAAGGTGTGGGGATAACTATTCAAGACAGCGAACAGACTGACGTGCGATACTGGCAAGAGATACTATCATTCATGCACATGCAAACAATTATCACATATCCATTCATGTCGTGACGTCCGTCTAGACGTCCCTTTGTGTCAGCAATTGTGCAACACCGTTAACACCTGAATTTCTGGAAACTCTTTTCACCACAAGAAAATATGTCACCATCGGGATTCGTAACCAAATGGTATGGTGTGTGGGTTTCTCATAAACAAATATGGACACGGAGACAGATGATATAATAATATGACATTAACTCTACCATACTTTCAGCTATTTGCATAACCTCAAAGATTTTGAAAGTAATATATTTAATGTTGTTATATTATGAATATAACTATATTAACGAGGGAAAAGCAAGTTTATGGATAGTCAACTTCTTTTGGAAGCAGTTGACTATCTATAAACTTGGTTTTCCTTCATCTAAATCGATGTTTGTCAGTGAATCATAAAGTAAATGGGATTACTTTTATTTAAGAAAACACAAACTGATATTTAATTCTTGTGCCCATAGACCAAGGTGTGTTCTCCGAGAGCTGGAACAGTGGGGTAGGTTT